CAGAGTTTGCATTGAGCCGAGATTGCGCCATTGCACTCCAGTCTGGGCAAGAAGAGCAAAACTCCGTCTGGAAAAAAAACAAAACGAAACTGCCAGAGAGATGGCTCCCTTACTACCCCTCTCGTGCCTGCTGTGGTCTGCTTAGAGCAAGTTTCTCAACCTTGGCACAAGGGACACTTTGGGTCTGATGACATTTCACTGTGTGGGGCCACATCATGCTTCATAGGATGTTTACCCAGCATCCCTGGCCTATACCCAGTAGATGCTGTTAGCACCTCCATCCCAATCCAAATGTCCCCAGACCGAGGCTCTGTCTGGAGAAAAAAAAAAAAAAAGCAAGCAAGCAGAGACCTAATGAACCCATGTGTCCACCTGCATCTTTCTGCAATTATCAGCCTGTGGCCAACTCCATTTCACCTATTATCTCTGACCACACAGACCCAGCATCCCACATTTCACCCATGAAGTGGATCTACTCGCCTATCGGGCCTCCAGGGTCTTGTGGAGTGACTCTCGCACCCATCGCTCCAGGACAGACAGTGCTGGAAATCAGGCTGAGGCTGTCAGCGTGGCAGTACGAAGGACACTGGATTCTCAGCCACATAGACCCTCCTACGCCCACGTCAGGACTGAGGTCAGCAGGCCGGGGTGTGGCGGTCATCCTGTGATCACGCAGGAACACCAAGAGAACTGCTAGGATGTGGACCAACCTGATGTCCTGAGTCACAGAGCTCCTGCCTAACACTGGACTTCATGTAATGTCAGATGATTGAATACCGTAATGCTCTGAGCCACAGTGGGCTGGCTGGTATTCCGCTACCTGTGCTAAAAAGCATCCTACGAGAGGTACACCATGCTGGAATAGGCAAAAGCGTTTCTTGTATCTTATTAACACACTTCAAGATGCTCATGTGCTTCAGCAATCCCTGCAGTCAAAAGGGTCCTCCACTCCCCAGTACACAAGGCCCAGCCAGCCAGATTCCCTCCATCCTCACCTTCCTCCCGTCCCAGGGGAGCCAGGAAAGCCATGCATGCACCAACATGGATGCCCTGTGTTCCTCCTCATCAGCCTGCTGAGTCCTCCTGGACCTGACGAGAGGCAGTACTGCAGCCTCGCCCAGCCCCGGGAAGGTGGTCTTCCTTACTACAATCCCCTTCATCCTTTGGAGGGCAACAAGATGGTATTTTATAAGGAGGTATCAATCAGAAAAAAGGGATATTACTTTGATTATCTATGTAAGAGAATAATAAGTACCATTCTTAGTACTTGTAAGCGTTCGCTAGGTTGTGCTGTGGTAACAAAGGATCCCGAAGTCTCAGTGACTCAAAATCACAATGGCTTACTTCTTGCTGACGGCTTTACTTCACGTGCCTTTGTTACAGGATCTGGGGTGAAAAATCAGCTCTCACTGTGCACATGCTGTGTTCATGCTGGGGGCAGAAAGGGAGGGACTAAACCACAAAACACCTTTTAGAGCTTCTGCCTGAACGGGGCACAAGACAGCAGAATACTTTACATCACCATTTGGAAGTCTCACAGCTAAGCTGGACGTCAAGGAAGGGCAGGCCGGGTGTGGTGGTTCACGTCTGTAATCCCAATACTTAGGGAGGCTGACGTGGGTGGATCACCCGAGGTCAGGAGTTCGAGACCAGCCTGGCAAACATGGTGAAACCCCATCTCTACTAAAAATACAATAATTAGCTGGGCGTGGTGGCAGGCGCCTGTAATCTCAGCTACTTGGGAGTTGAGGCAGAATAGGCTGAACCCGGGAGGTGGAGGTTGCAGTGAGCCGAGATCATGCCATTGCACTCCATTCTGGGCCACAAGAGAGAAACTCCGTTTCAAAAAAAAAAAAAAAATTAAATTAAAAAATAAAATAAATTAAAAATACAAAAATTAGCCAGGCGGGTGGTGGCAGGCACCTATAATCCCAGCTACTCAGGAGGCTGAGGCAGGAGAATCGCTTGAACCCGGCAGGTGGAGGTTGCAGTAAGCCGAGATTGCGCCAATGCACTCCAGCCTGGGCGACAGAGCAGGACTCCATCTCAAAAAAAATAAAAATAAAAGTAAATTAAAAAGGAAAAAAGGGCATAACTGGTAATAATAATATAACCCACATCCTTCCAGAACCCCAAACTGAATTGGGCAGGGTTCAGCTACTGGAAAACACAAAGCTACTCTAGGTATGCAGTGATAATGTAATCGCCGGCTTACACAAAGGCTGGGAGCAAAGTCAGGGAAATTGTTGCCAATGACCTCAGCCCAAAGCACTGAAGTGGGTGGAGGTCTCAAGAGCTCATGGCAAAGCCAATGCAAACTCAACACTAGAAAGCTACCAGCAATCTCTTGGTCTACATCAGTGAGGCAGGTGGTTCTCAAAAGCTCATTAGCAAACAGCCTTGAATTTCATCTATATTTCTGGCTGAGAGTGCCTCCCAAGAATAATCGCCTCCAAAGGTATGAGTGCCTCTCTCTGGCAGGCTGTAACACAGAGCTACACAGATGATTCTGGGAAATGCAGTTCCTACCTTTTCTTCTGCTAAGCAGAAAGTGAGGTCTAGCTGACAACTGACAATTTGGCACATAAAGATAGTAATTTAGGTATCTAAAATAACAAAAAGTCTCATCTGAGAAATGTCCAGGCAGCCGGATATCCCTAAGATAACAGCAAACGCGACTGAGCGCTTTCTAGATGCCAGGGACACTTCGCGGGACTTTTTCCACCTCTCTATACCAGAGACAGTTTTTCCTCTTACCATCATGACCCACATTTCAGAGGAGTTGGAGGCATGGCAAGAGGAAACAACTTGCCCGTTCTCTCTCCGCGCTATAATTTGTATACATCATCTTTTAAAACGGACTTTTTGGCCTGGCGCGGTGGCTCACG